ACCCCGTGGCTGCTTCTACCTCATCTGCCATTCCCGTGGCTACTACTCTTCATGTAGGAGTTGAAACTTCCAGTAGCAAGAAGCCAATGAAAAAGGTTGTTGTTGAGGTTCCTGAAGGTGAGAACTTATTGAGGAAATCAGGTCAAGCCGATGTGTGGTTGAAACCTTTGTTAGGTCCTGCGGAGAAGTCAAAGTTGGAAAGTCATAGCTCATTGACCTTGATGAATGATATTGTTCATTCTTCTTTGAAGGTATGAGTTTAATTCTATTTCATTTTTCTCTTCTTTTTGTCTATCAATAAATCCTTCTCTTTCTTTGCAGATCAACTTGATCGGTACGGAACTCATGAAAAGGGTTGTTCATGCGGATTAACAGATTATTGATTACCGCACCGATGCTGATAATTGGAAAGGACAATTTGAGGGTCTTCAATTGGAGAAAGAAGTTTTGGCAGAGGAGAAGAATGCTTTAGAGCAACAAATGAAAATGATTGCCGCTGAATTAGCGATTGAGAAAGCTTCTTCTAGTCAAGTTGGTAAGTATAAGGATATCCTTGAGTCCTCCTTTGTTGAACAACTTTCTAAGGCAACTGAAGAAATAAGGGGTTTGAAAGAACTTCTTAATCAAAAAGAGGTTTATGCGGGAGATCTGGTTCAAACTCTTACTCAAACTCAGGAAGATCTCCACGCCTCTACTGATAAGATTCAGTTCGTAGAAAGTTCACTTTCCCCTCTGAAGACAACCTATGATGCCTCTGAAGCAGAGAAAGAAGAATTGAGAGCCGAGATTAACCAGTAGGAGAAGGATTATGAGATTCTCGAGGATAAGCTGACACTAGATGTGAGTTGCGATTTTTTGAATACATGCCTCAAGACTTTAGTTGAGGCCAACCAGGAGAGTTTTGACCTTAGTGCTGAAATGGCCAAAGCTAAAGAAGCAATTGGGAAAACTCAGCAACGTCAAAGCTTTTCCTCACCTGAAGTTGAAGATCTCAGAGGTAATGGACTCATTCCTGGTGAAGTTGATGTTCAAGCCTCCTCTTCTCAAATTAATCCCTCTTCTTCCGTTCATAATGTTCCCGTGGATGATGCCCCCTTAGATGATGCTCCTTACTGTTTTCTGTTTTTTATTTGATTGCTTTGTTCGCAACTTTTTGGTGGAAAGTTTCTGGGAAAGGTTGTTTTATTTTTTGGTTACCCCTATCTTGTTATGGGGTTTTAATGATAAACTAATACCTTTGTTTTCCCAAGGTTTAATATAAGTTTCGATTGTTTTTACCGTTTATTTTGCTCTTTGATATTTGAGCTTTTTCTTTGCACTTAAAATGCTTAAACAGTCCGTGACTTTAATAAATACGGATATTCATAAAAGAGGGCCCTTTTATATTAACGACACTGATGAAGATGACATCTCATCTTCATATTGGTGTAAATATATGAAAGACGAAGTAAACATGAAAAAGAAATAATTTGAGGAAGTTTCATGCTTTGAACTTCCAAATTTCGTACATCATTTTTCATTTATGCATATAACACTTTGTACAATATTTATGCATACAACATTTTCATAACTGCTTTCTTTGTAACAGATTTTTGAAATTCAAAATTGGGTCTATTTATCCCGTGATTAAGTTTTGGCCTAAAACTCGTAACTCATGTCCCCTTTTGCAAGCTTATTCCTTTCCAAGTTTTCTTCAAAGTTCCAGGCTTCTATATGTGTAGTTTGCCCTAGTATTGAAGCTTTAAAGTATGAAATCTCGAACACTGGATTACTCATTGCCTATGGTCCATTTCCTGAAAAGAAAAATACAAACGGGACTTAGAGACATATGTTTAGATGATGACTGCATAACCCCATTTTCCATTAGATAGGTTGTAACCTAGACCGAGAATTTATTTAGTATTCCGTGCATCTTTCGGGTCTAATATTATCATTTGGCACGGGCTAGCTTTTTGCCTATCATCTAAAATTATTGGTATAATTCAAAAGAATAAAATAAATTTATAATTGAGTGATTCCTGTCCGTGGGTACTTTCTTCATCTAAAAGTAATACTTCTTCAGATGAACAACATTCCAATTTGATGGTACTATCTTGCCATCCATGATTTCCAACTCATATGCTCCATTTCCAGCGATGCATCGAATCCTATATAGGCCTTCCCAATTTGGACTCAATTTTCCTGCATTAGCTGCTTTTGTTGATTGAAACACCTTTTTGAGGACGAAGTCCCCAATCTTGAAGTATCTCAGATTAGCTTTCCTGTTGTAGTATCGCTCAATCATTTGTTTCTGAGCTGCCATTCTTATTAATGTCGCCTCTCTCCTTTCTTCCAGTAAATCCAAATTCATTCGCATCTCTTCCTCACTTGATTCATCGGCTGTTTGTGTATATCTCGTACTTGGTTCACCTATCTCAACTTGAATTAAGGCTTCAGCACCATAAACAAGTGAAAATGGAGTCTCTCCTGTGCCTGTTTTTGATGTCTTTCGATAAGCCCATAAAACTCATGGTAGCACTTCGGGCCATTTTCCTTCTGACTCTTCTAATCTCTTCTTTAAATTATTAATAATAACTTTATTTGTTGACTCAGTTTGCCCATTGGCCACATGGTGGTAAGGTGAGGAAAATTTCACCAATGATTTTCCTCCAGCATGATTGCCACAATGTCTCTCATGTACTTCTCTTATCACATATTCCGTTTGAGAAGGTCCGAGATATCTTGCTAAAGGTCCTACAAACATATTTTTTACTTGACTCAGACAGTACCGGGTAGCTTTTCGGCGAAGTAACTAAGACTTTTTCTTGTCTTCAGGTAAAATTATGTGCTGCACAAAGTTAACAAATTCGTTTCTCCAATTCCAAGTCAAATTGTTAAAATTTACCTCATTTTTATCTTGGTCGAGCACCGAATGAAACAAATGTATTACTATAGAATTTTCTGCATTTGTTATTTCTGCAACAGACACGAGGTTAGCTAATGCATCTGCTTCTGCATTTTCCTCCTTGGGTATTTGCACGATTTTCCATGATTGAAACTGTCTGATCAATTCCCTTGCCTTTTCCAAGTATTGTTGCATTCGTGCCTCTCTTGCTATGTAAGTCCCCTGCATCGGGTTAACTACTAGTTGTGAATCACTTTTGATTATAATTTGTTCTATACCGAGTTCTCATGCTAGTTCCAAACCTATAATCACAGCCTCGTACTCCGCTTTATTGTTTGTAATGGGATAGTATTTTATTGCTTGTCTTATGATTTTCCCCGAATGTGGGATTAAAACAATACCTAAACCCACTTCTTTAACATTCGAGGAGCCATCAGTAAACAAGATCCAAGTCCCCGGATTAGATCCGGTAAATACATGTACTTTTTTTCTGCTTCAGGAACTATATTTGTGCTGAAATCTGTCACAAAATCTGCTAAAACTTGTTATTTTATTGTAGTTCATAGGATGATATATAATATCATATTCACAGAGTTTTATTGCCCATTTAGCTAACCTACTAGATAGTTCTTGTTTATGCAATATATTCCTTAGAGAAAAAGCAGCTACTAGAGAGATAGGATGGCATTGAAAATAAGGTCTAAACTTTCTAGATGCCATAATTAATGCTAAAGAAAGTTTTTCCAAGTGAGGATATAGTGTTTCATCATCCAACAAAGATTTGCTAACATAATAAATTGGAGATTGTTTACCTCTATCTTCTCGCACTAATACTGCACTTACCGCTATTTCTGATACGGCAAGATAAATGAGTAGCCTTTCTCCATCCTTCGGTTTAGCCAGTAGGGGTAGATTTGACAAATATGATTTTAGATTTTTGAGAGCTTGTTGATATTCGTCAGTCCACTCAAATTGGTTTTACTTTTTCAATACTGAAAAGAATTTAAAATGTTTCTCTGAAGATTTGGAAATAAATCTTTCCAGAGCTGTTATCCTCCCTATTAACCTCTGCACCTCTTTTTTGCTCATGAGTATGTCAGGTATCTCCTCAGTGGCTTTGATTTGTGCAGGATTCACTCAATGCCCCTGTTAGAAACAACAAAGCCTAAAAACTTACCTAAAGCCACGTCAAAAGCATATTTTTCTAGATTTAGCTTCATATTGTATTTGCGGAGAATTTCAAAAGTGCTTGAAAGGTGTTGAAAATGATCCCCTACTTGTGTTGACTTGACTAACATATCACCAATGTAGACTTCCCTAATCTTTCCCAGGTGTTCTTGAAACATTTTAGTTACCAATCTTTGATACGTGCCCCCAGCATTTTTTAAACCAAAGGGCATAACTTTGTAACAATAAGTCCCCATAAATATAGTAAATGAAGTTTTTTATTCATCTAGGGGATCCATATTTATTTGATTATAACCTAAATATACATCTAAAAAACTTAACAGCTCATGACCTGCGGTAGAATCAATTAATTGATCTATATGCGGTAAAGAAAATGAATATTTTGGACAAACTTTATTTAGATCAATATAATCTACGCAAACCCGCCACTTTCCATTCTTTTTTGGAACTACCACAGTATTAGCTAACCAGTTTGGGTACTTTACCTCTCGTATTGATCCGATTTTTAAAAAATTTTGTATCTCATCCTAAATCACTTGATTTTTGAAGGACCCTTGCTTCTTTTTCTTTTGCTTGACTGGGAGGGGGAGGAGGGGTACAATGGATCTTCATTCAGTTTGTGGGTCATCACCTCCGGTGGTATACCTGTCATATCTGAATGCGACCAAGAAAAGCAATATGTGTTAGCTTCTAAAAATTTGACTAATTTACCTTTTATTTCCGGGCTCAGTTTTGCTCCGATGTAAACTTTTCTGTCTGGCCAGTGCTTGAATAGTATGATAGCCTCGAGTTCTTCAATAGTTATTTTGATGTTTTCATTCTCTTCTGGTTCTTGAATAACATCGGGTCTCGAATCTATATCTGTCTGTCCTGAAACGCTTTCAGTTGAGGTTTGTATTACTATATCCTCCACTAAATTTTGTAGTTGCTATTTCTCATTTGTAACATCATTTGTTGTGCTTGAATCCGCCTCTAAATTGATACTTTTAGAAGCCTGTTGATCTTCACGAATTTGTCGAATCCCCCATTGCAAAGGAAACTTAATAACTTGATGTAATGTAGATGGTACAACGTCCATATTATGAATCCATAGCCTTCCAAGAATCATATTATAAGCCATGTCAGTGTCTATCACCTGGAATTTCGTATCCTTGATAACTTTTTCTGCAAATATGGTAAGCATTATTTTTTTCATTATAACACTTGAATTATCAGATCCAGACAAAGATCGTGCTTTTGGTACCACCTTGTCGTCAGCTTGCATTTTATTCACCACCCTTAGAAGAAGAATATTTACGGAGCTACCTGGATCAATCAAAACGCATTTTACATTAGTATCATGTACAAGTAAAGATATTACCAGCGCATCATTATGAGAAATTAACAAGCCATCCGCATTTGCATCATCAAACGTTATACTGTCTTCATCCAAAACATGGCAAACTCGCTTTCCATGAGTAATCATGACTTTCGATGTCTTTTTTGTAGCTGTATATGTCACACCATTGACCTCTTCTCCCCCGCTTATCACATTGACTCTTCTCTTTGGAGACGGAGGTTTTAGAGGCTCTTGTCTATTCTTCATATAGGATTGCTTGCCTTTCTCACTGAGCAAGTCAGTTAAATAACCCTGCTTTAATAAATGCTCAACTTCACCTTGTAATAATCTACAATCTGTTGTTTTATGGTCATGATCGTTGTTAAACTCACACCAGAAATTTGGATTTCTTTTGCTAGGGCTTGATCTCATTTCTTTAGGCCACCGTACCTTATCTCCCATACTTCTTAAAATAGCCACCAACTCGAAAGTGCTGACATTGAAACTGTAATCTCCAATCCTTGCATCTGTGTCAGAATCTACTGCCTCGGGCATCTCGTCCTTTTCTGAACCTGGATGATGAACCCGCATATTTCTGCCTTGATCAAGGGTTAGACCGTATGTTTTCATATTTAGACCGTGAATCCGATCCCGTAGGTCCCATGTAAGGTTCGTACCTGTATTTTCCGGACTTTTTTTCAGATTCTGAACATTCGAACTTGTTCTTTCATTGACCCTTGACTATGTAACCGTGTCTTCTTCTATCCGCAGCTTTGTGTTGTACCTGTTGTACACATCATTCCATGTTGTAGCAGAAAATTCTCGTAAATTTTCCTTACATCATCTCGTGACTTCTGGACTTTTTTCATTTAAATTGCTTGCAAACACCATCGCTGTCCAATTATCAGGTACTAGTGGTAGCATCATCCTTTCACATAGAAATCTATCCACAAAGTCCCTGAGTAACTCTGTATCTTCTTGTTTTACCTTAAAGATGTCTTCCGTCCTTTTTTTAACCTTCTGAGCTTCCGAATGTGCTTTTATGAGTGAATCTGCAAGCTCAGCAAAACAATTAATAGAGTTTTCAGGTAAAACAGAAAACCATGTTAATGCCCATTTCATGAGTGTTTCTCCAAAAACTTTTACCAAAACTGATTCAATTTCCTGCTTGGTTAAATCATTGACCTTTACGCCAGTTGTAAATGCAGTTAAATGATCTCGTGGGTCGGTTGTCCCATCTTACTTTGGAATATCAGGCATTTTGAACTTTTTAGAAATTGGCAGAGGAGCTGCACTTGGCTTTCAAGGTTGCTGCGAATACTTATCAATATCCACACATTTTATTACGGGAGGTACACCTGGTATTTGGTCTATGCGATCGTTCTGCTCTTTCAACTGTTTTTGCAAAGTTAGTACCAAACTTTGTATAACTAAGTTATTAGTTATACCTAACCTCCCGTCACGGGATTCATTAGGAACTCCTCCACTTCCAGAATTATCGATCCCCGAGCGTGGGTTTTCTAAAGTCGTCGTATTGGCTGGTGGAGGGGTTTTCGGCATATTAGGCAACCCCCTAACAAAGTCCAAAAGAGCATTATTAACGTGTTCCGCAATCAATTTTTATAGAACGTCTTGTTCTACGGTTTGTTCATCACCTTGTTGATCATTAGCGTGCGATGTGGATCTCTCAAGTGATCCTCCTCGGGACTGGCGAGGGAATTCTGTTGGAGAGTGATGTGGTGATGCTCCCACTTGAAGGTTAAGTTGGTTATTGTCGTTACCAGTCGACATAATTTAGTTTTGAGAAAGAAGGATTTGGAAAGTAAAGAGATTATCAGATTTCCGGTAACAGAACCAATTTGTTTAACCAAAAAATAGGATCGTTGGTCAAAGCCTATATTTAGAAGAAATCGGGTTACTGATAACCAAATAATACCTTGCTTCCTCAACAATTCGCTTGAAAAGAAATAAAAATAGCAATGTGAATTAGTAAAAAAGAGATAAGGAATGGAATGATAATCTATCCCTCCAATTACATAGAAGGCTTTTTTGAAGCAAGAAAATGTAAGTATATTTCAATAGTGCTCAGAACTTGTCCTTACAAGCGAGATTCTATATCCTTATATAGGAGTATCCAATTATAACGTTTTCCCGCATTAATGATATTAATTGCTCGTTATGGTTGATAATCATAATTGACACATTCGTAACTGTAAAGGCCTTGTAACGACTCTGATTCCCTTTCCTTATTTACTGTTGGTTTATGAATCTTCTTTATTTTTGGTCTTGATTCATTCCGCTCGTGCCTCTTCAATATTTGTTTAGGCTCTGTCATTTGTTCTTTACTGTCTCTTAGGTGTTTACTCTGCATCTTCCTTGCTCCATTAATTTCATTAATGGAATACGCCAGTTGTCACTTCACTATTATTCCATGTATCTTGCTTTGTCAGCTCAGTAAGGTTCCACGTGTGACACCTTTTTTCTACCGATACATCAACTTGACAACTGATTCTCATTGAAGACAACAATTTTCAAAGTTTTCTTCCTTTATTCTGACTAAATTTTTGTATATTTTTTTAATTTCAACAAGTGGAAAAATCATGTATTCAAGATATGTTTATATACATTTACACAAACAATAAGGAAATACTTTTAAATAAATATACAAATAACCAAATACATCACTACTAAACAAAGATAATATAACCATCATAAAGTTTCTAAAATAATTTAATGGAATTCTAAAAAATGAAATTATGTATTTTTTTCACCAGAGGTTGAAAAAATGAAATTACGTACACTAGAAGAAAATATATTGTTCAATGTAATTTCTTAGTTTTTTAAAAAAAATAAGCAAAATATTTTTTTAAAAATACAACAGAATAACCTGTTTTGCTTTAAAAATATCTGCAATTTTATTAGAAATTGATGCGAGTTAAAACAATGGGTGTCTACAAAAATTTATTTTATCTTCTTCAAATATCAAATTTTATTTTATATCTCAAAAAAGATTTTATGCTGCAAGTCTACAACTAAAATATTCATATCGATCCATAAGGTTTTTGAGAAATAGCAACATACATCGTATACTTGAAGGTTTATGCTTTTCATTTATATAGAAACAGAGAAAGCAAGACCAATATTTAGCAAGAAAGCTTACAATAGGTGATAGGAATGTCTAAAAATGTCACGACCCAAAACCTAACCCGTCGTAATGGTGCCTATCGTGATACTAAGCAAGCCGACCTTTCCAAAACACTTTCAAAATTTAACAGAAATGAACTAAGACATTTAAAACAACCGGAGTTTTTCAAAAAACAAATGAGGGTAAAACCCAAAAAAAAGAACATAAGTGCAAACATAATAGCCCGACATCGGGGTGTCACTGAGTCATGAGCATCTAGATATCTAGTCTGATAAAAACAGTGTCTAAGTATCAATACAAAAAGGAAGGAAAACATAGAAGGAGGGACAAGGTTTGCGGACGCCGACAGCTACCTCGTAGTCTCCGGTACTCGATCGCGCACGAACGCAATGACCTCCGTGATCAAATACACCTGGATCTGCACATGAAGTGTAGGGTGTAGCATGAGTACAACCAACTCAGAAAGTAACATAAATAAATAAGAAACTGAGAAGGTAGTGACGAGCTATACGAATACAGTTTATTTTTAATAATTCCAACAAAGAGTAGACATGCTTTCAAATTCGGCAGTTCAAATCAAATCAGTTTTATACAGTTAAAGTGCAGGTAAATCCGGATATAGAATCTTTCAGAAATTTTACGACAATGACAGATAGCAATTAAGTGCATTAACAAATGAAAAGGCAAGTACAGCCTCTCAGGGGCAACAATCACTCAACTCATCACAACAGCTCAATCACTCGGCTCTCAGCCCTCACTACTCGCACTCAATAGGTACATGCGCTCACTGTTTTGTGCAGACTCCGGAGGGGCTCCTTTAAGCCCAAGCACTATATCCGCACGGACAACTCACGTGCTATAGTATCAATATGTTGAACCGCACGGAAAACTCACGTACTGCACGGACAACTCACGTGCCATAGTATCAATATGTGAAACCGCACGGACAACTCACGTGTCATAGTATCAATACCTCACAGACAGGCCCTCGGCCTCACTCAGTCATCAACTTCTCTACTCTCTCGAGTTCTCGGAAAACACAAAGATCAGCACAAACAAAGATAACATAGTGTATCAACAAGAATCAAGAAGAATCTGAGATATGATACGCAAGTAAAACCATGACTGAGTACAAGACAACAATCAGCAAGTAATTCAACAAGTAAGCGACTTCTGTTGGTCCCAACAGTACCATCACATAGCCTAAGCATGATTTCTAATATGATTTGCAGCCAGATTTCTATAACACATGGAGATCATATAGTTAGCAACAAGTTATTCAACTTTACAGTATCATGGAATGGACCAAGTCTCAAATCATACGGTGCACGCCCACACGCCCGTCACCTAGCATGTGTGTCACCTCCAAAATACTCACATAATCCAATAATCCGGGGTTTCATACCCTCAGGACCAGATTTAAAACTGTTACTTACCTCAAATCGCGCAAAATCCTACTCTGCAATGCCTTTGCCCCTTAAATCAATCTCCAAACGCTTCGAATCTAGCCATAATCAGTACGATATAATTAATATAGGCTAAAAGAATCAATTTTACAAAAAAATACGAAATTATAAGCCAAAATCCGAAAGCGGCTCAAACCCGACCCCGGGCCCACATCTCGAAATCTGATAAAAGTCACAAAACCCGAAAGCTCATTCACTCACGAGTCTAACCATATTAAATTCATCAAAATACGACCTCATTTGGTCCTCCAAATCCCCAAAAATGCATTATCCAATTCTCAAGCCCTAAACCCCCAAATTTCACTTCAAAATCTCGTTAATAGGTGGAAAAATCAGTGGAGAATCAAGATTTATGATAAAAAATGAGTACAAGAAGCTTACCTCAATAATGCAAAAATCTTCTCCAAAATCGCCTAAGTCCGAGTCTCAAATGGTGAAATAAGACTAAAATCGCGAACCCTTGCTTTTAAACATTCTACCCAGACTTTTCGCATCTGCAGACCTACTGTCGCACCTGTGATGCTGTATCTGCGGTGAAAATGCCGCTTTTGCGGAAGTCACTTGTACCTCCAGGGCCCGCACCTGCGCTCCAGGTTCCGCACCTGCGAACACGCATCTGTACCTCGAGGCAATATCTCCTAGCTGCCCTCGCACCTGCGCCCACTTGTCCGCATCTGCGCCATCGTAGGTGCGGGAAATTCTTCGCATCTACGACCCCTGTCCTTCATGGCCTTGCCCGCATCTGCGATTCATGCCACGCTTCTGCATGCTTGCACCTGCGGTGCCCATTCCGCATGTGCGGTTACACCAGTAGCAGCAGCTTTTCAGCTCCTTCATAAACTCAAAAAAATCAAGTCTGTTAACCACCCGAAATCTACCCGAGACCCCAAGGACCTCAACCAAATATGCCAACAAGTCATATAACCCAATACGAACTTATTCAAACCTTCGAATCACTCAAAACAATATCAAAACAGTGA